AGATAACTGTGTTGTTTATGCAAGAGTTTTATTATACATAATATACAGGGTGTCCCATGAAACATGACAGTTTGTGAATAGTTTTGATCGTCTTATTTTATATACTGTTTATATGTTAAAGACTTTTTGCAGCATATTTCGTTTAAAAAATCTTTTACTCAAATATATTTTATTTTTATATCAATTTTACCATAATATGACTGTCATATAATGTTTTTTTATCATTCATTTCGGTATCAAACATCTTAACAAATTATGGAAGAAGACATTTTTAATTATTTACCAACTGTGTTTCGTGGGACACACTGTATATAAAACAAAAATGTCAACATCAAATCAAAAAATATCAATGATTCAAAGCATAAAATACAAAATACATGTAATACAAATTACATACTAAATATACAAAAAATATCAATTTTATAATACAAGATATATATCTATAAGACTATAATTATGAAGTATAACTATAATTATATAATTTTGTAATACGAACAAGGGATGTAATCCGTCGTCTTTGCAATAAGGACAGAGATCAGGGACCAAAGGGAATCGGTGTTATAGATATAGATCATGTAGTGACATACAGTACATAGGATAAATGAGAGTTGCGGCATCTGTGTATATTCAGTGTACAAAGAACTGGGGTATATACACAGAGACAGTTTTCTATACCATCACATAAAAGATTTGTTGTATAAAACTGCAAATTGAGAAGTTATATGATTATAAGTAAACTTGAAAAATTATCCGATGGGCACAACAATACTTATCCGAAACATAAGAACTTATACCAAGGTAAAATATGAATTTAATTTAAATAATTTACAAAACATGTAATAAATACAGCAATCCGAGGGTTTCCAAATATGGCCATATTTTTTTGCGCAAAATTTGCGTAATTTGCTCAAAACCGGAAGTATTTGACAAAACGTAAGTTTTTACGCAAAACATGTTATTACAAATTGACCAAAATTGATTGCGCAAAGTGCTATTTTTTTGCACAAAAATGTAGTGCAATGAAAGCCAAAATTTGCGCTTTATTTTGCAAAAGTTGCGCAAAAGTTTTGCGAATGGAAACCCTAATCAATCCCCATATTTGTAACCAGAAGATAATGAGATATATTACCTTGTACAATGGACATTGTCTGTAAAGCCAATTGCGTTTATTATTAACTAGGCAAACCTTGTAATGCGATTTACCTATCCTAGCTATGTCAGTAAATACCTCAAAACCTGTATTGTGATTGACTTATAACTGCGTCAGTGACTGGCTTAACTTCACTATGAATAAGTTTGTAACATGATTAGCTTAATTGTGTTGTATATAGATTGGCGTAAAACATGTAATTACGTTAATAAAAGTTAACTTGTAACATAGAAAACCCAAATATAGTTTGTTGATATAGAGAATCCATACTGTTTACTGTGAGAGAGTAATTGTTCCTTGTTTTAACAAACAAGTTGAGGATCGTTCCTATTGGTATGGCATTGATAGTTACGACCTAGTATCCGGTTTACATCGATAGCTTACAAGATCGTGCCCATTGGTTTGGCATTGATCGATTAAAAGCTTGTGTCCCTGTTGACATAAATAGTTGGTCCTTGTCGAATCATATGAACTGAGTTCGTACCCATTGGTTTGGCATTGATCAATTGAGAGCTTTTGTCCGAGTTGACAGTGATAGCTGGTCCTCATTGAAACATACAAGCTGCAGAGATTGTGCCCATAGGTTTGGCATTGATCAATTAAGAGCTTGTGTCCGTTTTGACATTGATAACTGAGCTGGTGTCTTTGTTGACATTAATAGCTGGTCATTGTTGAAACATATGAGCTAAGATCATGCCCATTGGTTTGGCATTGATCGATTAAGAGCTTGTGTCCCTGTTGACATTGAAAGCTGGTCCTCGTTGAAACATACAAGCTGAGATTGTGCCCATTGGTTTGACAATGATCGACTAAGAGCTTGTGTCCGTTTTGATATTGATAACTGAGCTTGTGTCTGTGTTGACATTGATAGCTGACGAGTTGTACCTGGATAGATACAGGTTTGAGAAACCCTTATGGAGTAGGGTATTTACTATAACCATATCTAAACTACAAATCCAGATGTCATTAATAAAAACAGAAAAAATACAAATCAAATCAACACTAAAAACATATCAAATACGAAACATGCCAATTTATCAAAAAAACATATCAATAATACAAAACGTATTAACAAATAACAATACATAAAATATCAAAAATCGACAACATATCTTTAATAAACATATAAAATACAAAACATATCAAACACACAATATAGAACCACCCATTGAAATTTCATATAAAATAAAAAAAACATAACAACCACAAAAAGTATCAAATACAATTTTACAGAGTAGGACAATAATACTTTAAACATATCAATATGTCAATAATAAAATCTAAATTTGATACCAAAGATATCAGCATGTAATATACAAAACATGCTTTAAATACAAAGCATATCAAAATATAATACGAGACATACCAAATAGGCAGTAAAAATATCTATTTAACAAATTTTTTTTTCCAGATTTCATTATATTTTTTCGTGGATTTTCAAATTTTCCGAAAGTCAGTTATTTCTGGACTCTGAAGACAAATTTTTTAAATTATGAGCATCTATAAACAGTTAAATACAGGGTGTCCCACGAAACATGACAGTATGCAAGACGACTTGAATGTCGTCTTGATTTTTGATATAATTTGCTGCGTTTATTTGTCAACCTAATTTTAGAAGTAAATTTCTAGAGATAATAATCACAAAATTCCCCTAGTCCTGCCATTTCCAAAATGTGGTCTGCCTTTTTTGTGCTTTCAATATTTCCCGAGTTATGAAGAATTTCGTTCAGATTTCGACAATTTTGCTTTTATTTAACAAAATTGAAATCTGAAACAAACTCTTTTTATCTCCGGTAATATTGAAAGCACAAAAAACGCAGACCACTTTTTGGAAATGCCAGGGCTAGGAGAATTATGTGATAATTGTTTCAAGAATCATACATGTTAAAGTAGACAGAAGACTAAATGTCACAAATAAATTCAAATATCAAAGACGACTTTCAAGTCGTCTTGCTATTGTCATGTTTCGTGGGACACCCTGTAGTTAAATATGAAAGGCACCAGCGATATCAATATTCTAGTATGTCATCAAGTCACACACCAATAAAAGAACAAACTGGTTAAACATTTATATTAAAAGATAAATAAATAAAAGAAATAAAGAACTAAAGCGATGTTATATAGACCCAGCTAACACAAAGCGGAGTTAAATCAGGGTAAAAGTCGATTTTTTTAAACCCAGAACCCGGATAAAAACCGTGTACTGAAAACGTCTTTAAGACGGTTTTACAGAGTGTTTTCAGCAGATATAGATAAGGTTTTAGACGGTTTAAAATCTTCTTTTTAAGGTTTATAGTAGAGATAAATTCGTTTTTTAACCGTAGTTTTTACCCGAACATTTTAAAACGGATTTAATCCGTGCGTCATTTATACACCAATACCAGTTTATCGATACAGGGTGTCCCAATAAACATGTGAATTCAGTGACGAATTCGATATCGATCGTCTTTTCAAATAATTCTTTGATTAGTATAGTGATACCTACTGAGAAAGCTGTAATCTGTATGAGTTTCGTCTGCTATGTTTACATTTTGTTTGTTTTTGTTTTGACTGCAATACGGTTGTACTTAGTAAAACTTCTTCTTCAAAAACTTTTATTAAGAAAAAACAACGTAATTATTTTTATAAAATGAATTATCAAAAAAATCACAGGGTTATTTAGTAAAAGAAGAAAATTGCAGTATACCAACAGAGTAAACTTGTGCGTCTTCACTCTTCATCTTTTACCTTTTTCATAAAAAAAACTCTAACAGACATAATAATATTATGGCTTTTGAAATTAGGTATTACAATGCTAATTCATTACAAAGACTATTTGACTTAGCCATTTTTTTCGTTTCTTGGATACAAACAGACAGACAAGCAAAGTATATAGATGTGTCGTGTACAGTGTACACAGTATATTCAATATGATGGATGAGATAAATACAATAAATGTAATTTGTGAGTACAGAGTGTCCTACGAAACATGACAGTTGGTGAATAGTTTTTTAATGTCTTGTCTCCTTCCATGTAATGTATGAAGTGCTCAAGAGTTTAGCAGTTTATTTCGTTAAACTGAATTATTAATTTTACTTTTACATCAATTTTAATACAATATTTTTAATTATTCTCTTTGGTTTCAAACAACTCAACAAATTATGGAAGAAGACATTTTCAAATTTTTACCAACTTTAATTTTTAGTGGGACACCCTGTATAATCCATGGCTATTATGCCTATTTCATTGACTTAATTCAGAATTGTAAAATCCGACATTTAATATAAAAGTTTATAATATATTGGATAAATATGACTCCTATATCGGAGATTTTATCCACAAGAAAACTTATTTCGTTGAATTCCTTCATTTTTCTTCAGTTTTCCTTATTCTCTTTAAATCTACGAATGTTCTCCGTATTCTCCTTTATATCTGTCAGATCAATAATGAAGAAAGGATTCTTATTTTCAACCAGTTTAAAAATGTCGTCTTTGACATTGATCAAATTGGACGTAATTAACAATTCGGGGCCTGGCTTTGTTATTTGGGAAATCTTTTCAAAAATTAAAAAATATCAAAAAGTAATAATAGCAAAATTTTTTCTCAAATTTTATTACAAAATAACCGAAAAGTTTCGAAGAGGAAGTTTACCGCGTCGAAATTTGAATTGGCGTGAACCTTGATTCTTGAATTGCCAAGGCTGTTCTGCTGTCTACTGCACAGTACACTCAATAAAATTTATTTTCGATCAAAACAAGAAATTATTAAGAATTACATCCTTACGCAATGTTTTAGACTTCAAAGTTATACAATACAATCGAAACCATCGACAGTAACAATTTTTGTTTTCATATTAAGATCATAAATTCATGTTTTATAAAATAGTTTTTTTTTCAGATTTTTTAACCTCCATGGTTGGTGGTTTAGGTGTAGTGGGGATAGTGGGTGGTACCCTAGCTGGTTCAGCCCTTACGCTCTTTCTTCTTCGTCAATATGTTTCCAGTAAATGGGGATATTTTAAATCTGACAGAAATTTGAAAGGGCAGGTAATAAGTCATTTTGTTGAGTAATTTTGTTTATTTGGTTTTGAAAACTTATTAGATAGGGTCTGGATAATCTCCTAGAGAACGATTGTTGGGTAATTTCCTAGAGAACGATTTTTGGTTGATCACTTTTTTTCAGCAAAATTATTATTATTATAGGGGGCCGAAGAAAATGACCATTTTTTAGGGTACCCTTACTCTGGATTAAATCTTTTGGTTTGGTGAAGCTCTTTTTTGTTTTTATTTTATTATTCGAAATGTCATCCATTAAACTAGTACTTTTTTAATCTGTCATGTTTTGAATCAAATGTTGGGGTTGTCTAGCTTCACCCCCCCCCCCCCTGTATCTATTACAAATGAAGCATTTGGCACACTTTAAGAAAACTGTTCAGTGCGGCTGCAACCTTCTTGCATGTCCTAGCCGCGGCGCTCGGTCCAGAAATTGTTCTATTTTAGCTTAACCCTAAGAAAATTAGAATCAAATATTCAAAATTTTACGTTCAAAATACTTGAAATTGAGATATGGTTTAAGAAGATACACTTAATTGGGTTGAATTCTTAATCTCGATCAGATAAAACTAGCTAAATGAGTTATCATACAATAAAGGTGACTAAATTATCGTTACATTTTAATTTTAATTGTGTTTAGTTACGTTATAATACAATACTCCCATATCATTTTCTCTAAATCTTGCATAGAAGTGTTATAAAATTTTATAAATTTAGCCCTGATACAAACAAAATTATACCTAGATGAATAGGAAAAGATGAAATTAAACATAATACATAAATAAAAACAAGAACATATTAATAAAATAAATGGACACTGGGGTTAAAATAACAAAAGTGAATAAAAAGAAAGAATACAAGCAGAATACAGAGTGAATATAAAATAAATTTCAAAGTTCAATAAATTAATAGTAATGCAATGACAGAAACAGTTTAAAACCACAGAACCCATTTGAACAAGTAAATAAATAAGTCGCAAGTAAAACTAATTGCTCTAAGAGAGAAAAGTTTAAAACGGATCAGAGAACGATCGTTATATTATTTATTACAGTATTATATATTAACAATTTTAAATTATATGTATATTACAATATTATTTTTAACAATTTTATATTATATATTAGAATATTATATATTTACAATTTTGATATAGATTTTGTAAAACATTTTAAAAGCCTAAAAACCTAGATTAACAAAAAATTTAGCTATGTCCCATCACTAGAATAATATATGTTTATTAATCTCTAGGTTGTAATCATAACTGGAGGAAATGCAGGACTTGGAGCTGAAGTAGTTAAAGATATTGCCGCTAGAGGCGCGACAGTTGTACTTGCTTGTAGGTAGGCTTACTTCACGACCTCGCACAATGTGCATGTATTTTTAGTTGCATGCAGTGCATAGGATTAATTGTTTTGATGTGGATCCGGCATCCTGGATCCCTTAAGAAAAAATGCATCCGGATCCGGGTCAGAAACATTTTTTAAGATTTACTGATTTTTTTACAACAAAATACTTCACTTTTTCTTCTTTTCTTCGTATATTTTTATGGTAAATTTTGATGTATAAACTCAGAGATGCACAAATTTTTTATAATTAACAGTACAGATTTTGGGTTTGAGAGCAAATATGTTGACAGATATGATTAATGTTTTGCGCTTTGGATCCGGATCCGTGGATCCGCATATTTTTGGTTGCAATGGACTTAATATGTTCGTGAAATCTGTAGTAGGGTGATAAAGTTACTTAATTACCCTACAACGGGTAAAGTTAGGTAGGAATTTTAATAGCAGTGTGAAAAAGTTACTTTTTCGCGCTGTTGTAGGGCGATTATGTCACTTATTCACCCTACAATTGGAAATATTAGGTATGATAAATTCCCTCAAAATTGAATAAAATGATTCTAACAAAGTTTGGATTTTAAAGGGAAATTTATGAAGATTTGGGAACAATCTGCAGTTTTTGGTTTTTATTTTTCCCCTTGGATCCGGATCCGTGGATCCGCATAGTTTTTCCGGATCCGGATCCTAAGCACTGATTTACATAGTGGCGAGACAGTGGCAATAGATCAAATATAGAAGAGACTTAAGGGTTTCATCATATTGCGTTTTGATTTAAAAAGCAAGCTTTAGGCAATATCTTTTTCGTCTCTTAAATTATCCAAAGGCTTTTGGAATTCTTCCTTTCATATTTTCTTGTATTCTTCAAGTTTTTTTTTATATTTAAAACTAACAAGCCAAAACATATCGGTTACACAATCGATAGGGGAGGGTTTATAAATCTTGAATTATTTATTGTGATTTTTTCCCTAATCCTTATCCCTTTTTAAATTTAATTTCCACCTAAAAGTTTTCAATTTTTATTAAAAACGTAATATTTTTAAAATAAAATTCTTCACGCTGAAAAATATAAGGATTTTCCTCGGTATTTAAAAATTTCAAATTTTAAGTAAAGAAAAGTTTTGTAGGAATTGGGAGACAACGCGAATATTCCTGGCGGAAGTGCGTAAATTAACCGGAAACAATGATATTCAGTTCATCAAGCTAGATCTCGCCTCTCTACAGTCTGTTACAGAGTTCGTACAAGAGTTTAATGAGAAGTATCAGAGGTAAGAGTCAAGTTTTGTTAAACTGGGAGAGGTGAACATATTTTTTTTATATTTGGGGATTTTTAATTTTGCAGAATAAATTCTAAATTTTAGACGGGGTCGGGGGTACCTGCGGTTATAAAGGGAGAAAAACCTTTAATATATTTCTCTCTAGTTCTTTGTAAACATATTTATCCTTGATCTTGGATTTGAACTTATTTTATAATAATCTTATGGAGTTTACCCTACTAACCGGAAAACCTATAAATACGTATGACATGCGTATATATACGCATTTTTAGGTTCGGAATACGTATTTTCGTAACCATTTCCTTGGTAAAAATACGTATTTTATATTAGTAAAAATACGTAGATGACAAACGTAAAAACGCGTATGTAAAAAACCTAAAAAATCCAATGAATCAGGAATTTTTAGGTTTTTACTAATTTTTATTTGAATAAATCCTAACATATTTCTTAATTTTGGAATTTATAGGTTTTACCTATACGTAAAAATACGGTTTTTAAGGCATATTCAAGTTCTAAAACCAAAATGTTAAGATGATGACTATAACTTTGCATGCACACTGTTCCTTCATATCTAAATAATTAATCCCACAAATTTCTCATTCAAAGATATTGATCATTTTCAATCCAATCCAATATTCTTCTACACAAATTCACACCATCATCATTCCTTCCTCTTTATCCATCTAAATCAAGATTCATTTATGCTGTCTGTATCTCAAGAAAAAAATACAATTTTCTAATTAAAAAAATAACTTTAAAAAAACGTAAAAGTTTGTAAAATAAAAATCTAAAAACTAAGACAAATCACTTTGAATGAAATTTATGAAAATATATGTATTTTTAGGTTTGCATCAAACTTTAAACTCTGAAAAAAATACAATTTTTTAAGTAAATAAGAAAAAATGCGTAAAAAATGTAAAATATAACTTCGAAATATTATTTGGTATGGAAACTAAAAAAAATGTACTTAAATTTGTGTCAAACTTATAAACTCTATAAAAACAAACTTTTTTTCAGAAAAGAAAAACCCGAAAAATACGTAAAATTATGTAAAAAACCGTAAAATAAAACCATAAACTTTGAAAAATTGCTTGGTATGAAATTTACGAATATATACGTATTTTTATGTTTGGATCAAACTTATAAACTCCGAAACAATACAATTTTTAACTATAGAAAAGAAACGAACCTAAAACTTAAAATAGGGCACATGAAAGATTCTCCGCGTGTTATGAAAATTTTTAAATCGATTTCAAAGGATTGACATAATTTTAAATGACTCTACTTTTCTTATTTTGCTTTTTATCTGAGCATTGAGAGTTTAGAATCTTATTTTTTCCTTTTCTTTAGGAATCCACGTGGCATTTAATAAAAGCTCAACTTTAACCATTCTTTTTAAATGAAAATATAAGGGTCTCTCTCAGGTTTAAATTCCAGGGTTAGTTTTTGTTTGTTGATAAATATAGAAAATTGGTTGTAAAGTATTATCTTTATCGGCCAATAGCAACCTTAGTTAGCAAATTTGGGTTCAAAACCTAACCCATATTTTCTATAGTAGGGCTCCTGCTCTAAAGTAATTGTCTCATAAAATTACGTCGACAAGCGTTGTTTGTTTTATTTTATAGGTTTTCTATTTCTGTTGACAACTTGACCTTGACTTTAAGTTCAGTCGCAGGGCCGTAAGCTTGGTTCCAAAATCGACTCATCTTAAAGAAAAACTTTTAAAATTTTTTTTAGGAGTAAATCATCTCGGCCATTTCCATCTTACAAACCTTCTATTACCTCTCCTCCAGGTATTACACAACAACGATAATTCTATAAAAATAGATTTTGTTTTCATCTTCTCCAGGGGTGGATATAATTCCATTTTTTTATTCTTCCCCCCTTTAATTTTTTTTATTTCCTTCCCCAAATTCGATAACTTAAAGGACATAAATCTTTAATATTATTTTAATATGCAGTGAATAAAAACCCCCAAAAGGAAGCATTTTGAAAAGCATATTTGGCGCCGTATGGAATTTTTTTACAACCAATGAGTTATCTTCTATCATATTTGTTGAATTTTAACACGTTTTTTATATTGCAATATAACTATTGGGGAAAATTATTTGTGAAAACTCTCTGATATATATAAAGTGAGAAATGTAGAGGTAAGGAGCTCCAGCCCTTCCCTTTCCTATATTGCCATTTCCTTCACTTCTTTATCTGCCAACCTTCCATCGATTCTCTACCTTCCCCTTCCCTAACTACCCTTACCCACACCGTCCTCTTACCTTCACCTTCCATTTCCCTTTCCCGTCCCTTTCCCTTCCCTTTCCCTTCCCTTTCCCTTCCCTTTCCCTTCCATTTCCCTTCCGTAGTTACCTATATTCCTCTTTTCCCTCTCAACCTTCCTCATTCCCTCTCAATCTTCCCCTTTCAATCTTTTCTTTCGCTGTTACCCTTCCCTGTTACCCTTCGTTTACTTTTTCCTTCCCCTTTTCGTTTCTTTTTGCCCTCCCTTTCCCCCCTTTTTCTTCCCTCTTTTCTTTCCCCTTTTCTTTGTCCTTTTCTTTCCCCTTTTCTTTGTATTTTTATTTCCCCTTTTCTTTGCCCTTTTCCTTCTCCTTTCCCTTCCCTTTTTCCTTCCCTTCCCCTCCTCTTGGGTCTTTGATCCACCCCAACCACCACTCGGATGGTGTGGGATGAATTTTATACAGTATACACCCCTGTCTTCTACAAATTAATCTTTTTGTTTATGATTAGAAAACTGCTAACTCCCGAGTAGTTATAGTTTCTTCTTCATTGATGAGACAAGGGAAGTAAGTACACTTTTATTTTTTTTCAAGTTTTTTATTTTAATATAATATTTCTAACTTTTGGAAGATGATTTGCTAAGCTTGGTGGGGCACAAATAAAGAATGGGACAACGTCTTTTTTCCTTCTTCCAACCTTTGTACCCCTTAAAGCATTTTCTTTTTATTATTTTTTCTCCGATTGTTCAAATTGATAAAAATATGTTTACCTCGGTATACTTTTAATCTCTTCATTTCATTTATCCCTTCAGGATACAATTACAATACGGATATCGCATAATGATTAAATGAATCTAAAGATTAACAAAATATCGAGATCAATCATTGATCTCGATTTCCACAGTACAAGAGTTTCCAGCCCAGATGGATTTGTTTGCTCTAGATACGAACCTGAGAAGTATGACCATTTTATCGCCGGCCGGTCACTTGACCCCGGAGTTAAACCTGGGTTTGCTCCAACAGGATACTGTGATTCTAAACTGATGAACGCTCTCTTTACCAAACAACTAGCAGGTCAGAGCAAAACATTTTTTAATAAAAGGATTGGTCAAACTAATTTCAGGGGACCAAGCATTGTTTAGTTAGAGACGACACAAATTAGCTGTTTTTATTCGTAACAGCGAGGCATCCAATATTGGGCAAAAAATGTATTTTTCAATCTTCAAAGGCTAACTTACTCATTTAAAGGTCGGTCAATTGAAAATACGCTGATAATAACTTTTTAAACTTATCCCACAAAATATAGAATTGCTGGGGAAAAAGATAGGACAAAGATGATGAATAGGGGGGGGGGGGAGATTCCTGAATAAATTATTTTAATTGGTTGAACAGTGCTAGTAAATTTAAGATCTAGAGTGGAGAACTACAGGGTGCCTCACATTTTATTGGATCGTTTATGAGAACTACAGGGGGCCTCACACCATATTGGATCGTTTATGAGAACTACATGGGGCCTCACACCATATTGGATCGTTTATGAGAATTACAGGGGTCCTCACATCATATTGGATCGTTTATATGAGAATTACAAGGGGCCTCGCATCATATTGGATCGTTTATGAGAATTACAAGGGGCCTCGCATCAAATTGGATAGTTCATGAGAACTACAGGGTGCCTGACATCATATTGGATCGTTTATGAGAACTACAGGGGGCCTCACATCATATTGGATCGTTTATGAGAACCACAGGGTGCCTCACATCATATTGGATCGTTTATGGCACTAAATTACAATTTTCGGAACTAATAAAAAAGAGGAATGAAATATTTTGAAAAATTGTGCAAGGTTAATTTAAAAATTTGCTTGCAAAAAATACTAGGTTTTTCTAGTATTACGTGCATATTTGGGCAATAAAGCTTGGAGATTATCCAATATGATGTAGGACGCGTTGTAGTAAACTAGATTTGATTAGACATTTGATTGTAATTTGAATTGACCTGGAAAAATATATAAACCCTCCTCGCCTCTCTTGTAGTCTGTCCTGCAAAGTTAATATTGTTATTATATTGTAGAAAAAACCGGTTCTAGTGTGACCAGTGTGTGCGTTTGCCCCGGATGGTGTTACACCCAGCTTGCCAGAAGTATTAGAATACCATTTTATAAAAAGGAACGTAGTCTGTTGAATATGTTTCACTTAAAATAGGAGTTTATCAATTTTTAAGAAACTATTTTCATTATCTGGGGGAAAAATGAAATCAAAAGTCAAGTTTTTCCTCTTTATACTCTTTGATACTTTAAACATAAGAATTTGGCCCCCCCCCCCATAATCTTTATTTTTCCTTAATTCAGCGAATAGAACACTAAAAATTTAAAAAACTATTTGGTGAAAAAAAAGATTTTTAAATAATGGGTTGGGGGGATAATTTATAATTTACCCTAAATTGGAAAAACTGAATTGAAAAAATTTAATTTAAAATAAATTTAATCAAATTTTCTAGGATATCTTACTCTTCTGGAAACTAAAACATAATGAAAACTATGATATAGAATTTTGAGAGCTTTCCCTGGTAAAAATTTCCTATTAGCTTTTCTTATTACTTTTTTAAGGAGAAAAAATTTAAAACAATATAAAAAAATACCACTAATAAAAAATCAATTTAAAAAATATTTTCTAAATTTTTAAATATTTTTTACATTTCAACTGACTACGTTATAGTTTTTGTTTCTGCCGATTGCGTTTATCTTTATGCGAAGCGCTGTCCGAGGCGCTCATAATATCATACATGGTGCTGTAGAAGAGACTAGCAACCTCATTAATGGTGGATTTTACAGGTAAATGGCCCTTCCGTACTCTGTTTTTGATAAACAGTGTTCTCCACAAATTATGAAACTGTAAAGACGACCCAAAACAACATTTCGATTTGAAACTTCATATTGAAATCAAGTGTTCTAATGGGTTTTAAAAATGGTTTAGCAAAAAATAGATATTTCAGCTTGTGGGAAACAATGAATTTAAGAAAAGTGTCTAAATAACTTCTTAACAGTCGTCTCTGAAGTTTCATCCTTGGTTTATATGTACGTTGTACATGTAAATTGTTTATTCACAAGTTCTAGGAAACGGTTATTTAGGGTTGAAATGTGTTGAGAATTTTTGTGAACCATTCTTTCAGATTTGATTTAAACTGAAGTAGCTAAGCGTGACCACAGAGAAATGGGTCGTTCACCAGTTGCCCCCCCCCCCTATAGATAAAATGCCGTTTTTCATAGACTGAGGTTCATCCAACGAGAGATCGTAATTTAATTATTTAATTTATTTTAAACTTGTCATTTCATGCCTTTTTTTAATTACGTTTTACAAATCAATTTATGTTAAAAGTCAATTAGTATTTTCCAAAAACTGATTTCTTTGTAATTGTCTGATTTGTGCATATTGTATAAACCAATAATCCATGTCATAGTTTGTATTTGCTTTAACCCTAGACAGGATAGATTGATTGATNATGCTTTAACCCTAGACATGATAGATTGATTGATCTCACTGAATCAGATTTATGCTTTAACCATAGACATGATAGATTGATTGATGATCTCACTGAATCAAATTTATGCTTTAATTGATAAATAAGTTTTATCTCTAGGGAGTGTAAGGTGTCGGTAGAGGATAATACGAGGTTGGATGGATTAAATGAGTCTGCTCTCAATCTCTGGGAGTCATCAGAGAAATTGTGTAAAATCTAACTTCAGTCAATCCTTCCTTACTCAGGGATCAAGACAAAAGACAATACAAGAGTATTTAAAGAAAATAATTAGTCAGCTAGTCACAAATTACTAAAAGAATTTAATCTATCTTTCTATCTATAAAACAAACATTTAAATAATTACTCTTTAAAATTTTAGTATTCTTATCTTATCGCTATATTTTTTAATTGATGATATTCTGCATCTACATTAAAGGGAATGTTAACGTAATGTTTAGTGATCCTTCATTTAAAGAAACAAATCAATTCTCAAATCCATGTTCCGTTTAAAATGTTTTTTTCTCTTGCTTTAAAGATACTGAAAACAATGAGGAACTATTTTTAGACTTAAAGGGACTGTTTTTGTAATTTAAAGTGACCCCCCAATCACCATTTAAAGAGAACTGTGTGTGATTCTAACCGTTACTCTTTAAGCCGTTATCTGATAAAAAGTGTGGAAATATCGTCAATTTTACAGCTTGAATTGTGTTCAATGCTTACAATATTATGCACAGCAAGTCACTTTAATAGGGAACCCCTGATTGTGCTGGGTGGTGTAGGAGGACGGTGTCCATGCATGCACAATAGTTAGCAGTATATGCTCCTTTTCTTGTCATTACCTTGCCGAAAATTGCAAAAAATTAGTACTTATTTAAGGCTCCATAGAGCTAAATACAAGTAAAAGGGCATTAGTCCCATCCGGTCCTCCCTTATATAGCTAAGAAACTGTCTCATGACAAGTTTATAGAGCATATACGTTAATCAACCCCTGATTGAAAAAGACCAGTATTTGAAATCATGGATATTTTCTGCATTCATGATCAGCTAAATAGCTTAAGAACATCGTTGTGTATCGAACATGCCACTCTTAATTTAAGTTTAACATGAAATTACGTCTACAGTCCCTTTAAAAAAACACCAAGGTACCGTTGGGAATCATTTATGCCACTTGAAAAGCTTAGAATCTCTTGGAAGAGGTAAAGCTTTACTCAGACAACCGTACTCGATATTGATTGATTAATTAATAGAGTGGTAGGTTGTATACATCACGATATGTTAGTGTATCCAACACTGTACACTGTATATAGAGTGGTAGGTTGTGTACATCACGATATGTTAACGTATCCAACACTGTACACTGTATATAGAGTGGTAGGTTGTGTACATCACGATATGTTAACGTATCCAACACTGTACACTGTATATAGAGTGGTAGGTTGTGTACATCACAATATGTTAGTGTATCCAACCCTGTACACTGTATATAGAGTGGTAGGTTGTGTAAATCACGATATGTTAACGTATCCAACACTGTACACTTGTATATAGAGTGATCGTATTTCTAAAAGGGATTTCATGGAATAAATAGATTTTTAGATTTTCTCTCTGAATGCAAACTTTTGACAATTTTCAATTATCTACGTTTTACCACCCCTTAGAAAAACGATCACTCTGTATACAAGTGTACGGTGTTTGATACGTAAACATATCGGGATGTACACAACCGACCACTCTTAATTAATTAATAGGGAGGTCGGTTGTGTACATCTGAGCTAAGCTTTAACTCTTCGTTTCCTTTATCTATGCTTTTAACAGTCATTTTATAAACCCCGGGTCAGTTGTCTTTTTGTTGACTCGGAATCAAAAACATTTATTTCAGATTTATCATGTTTCGTCGACTCCACAGTTTTCTCTAGAACTAGGAATACAATGATATCTGTTAAACGTGAGCTCTGAGCTCATTGAACATTGAATAGTTACCAGATTATTTGCAAGACCCTGCCCCTGGGGACCGAGGATCCTGAATCTAAAGATCTGAAGGAAAATAGAAAAATGGCGATAGGATCTAAATCAATTCCACATGACAAGGTAATTATTTTAGTTTGTACGAAGGCTTGGATCAAACCTTTTTGATTCAATTTGAGGTATAATTAACAGGGCGTCAAAAAAACAAGCTTTGTGGTATAAGAACTGAAATTATGTGTTATTTTGTTACCAAACACTTAATGTACGTACTAAACTTAGTTTCCAATATTGCTTCTATTCAAAACATATTCTGAATCCCTTAATATTATTTTGTTGTTAGTTTTATTTATTTATTTGTTTTAATAAGCTGGAAACTCTGTTCACCAAGACCTTTAGTTTTAATTGCAGAAAAGGGCATGATGGTTGAACCTTCTGACCACAGCTTGAGCCCTAGCTTTTTAATTTCTAAAATGTGTTCAAAATACCTTTTTACCAGCTTTACGAGTAAAGATCTAAAAGTCTCCTCATCTTGAAAGTCCCAAAATGCCGACTGAGTATAAGATTAAGTAATGCACCCCGCCGGCACTAATATTATCAGGGGTGTATATTTTTTTTTAAATCACCCCCCCCCTTCTAAGAAACTCTTTATTTTCCCCAGAAGTTGTACAATATATATGCTTGCGCAAATCGCCAAACAAATGTTTAGGGGTTTTTGCTGTATTGGGGAAAATAAAAGATTTTTAGGCAAAAAGTATCATAAACAACGAAAAACTTGCTTTAATGTCCCATTTCACATTCCCTCTCCCCATTCATCAAAAAACATCCCCTCCCTTTCGAGGGGGGGGAGGGTTGTAATTCTGAAAAATATATACCCTGTATAATGTTCATACTTTAGATAAACTTGAAATTGATCCTTGTGAGTGGGAAAACGAAGGAGTACTTGTTCTCCCCCAGCGAGAGTGCGGGAGATATCTCACAGTTCGTCTTCGACAACTGGCCCCAGGAGTGGGGGGAGGAGGCGGTTAGTAAAATTAATTTAAAGTGAGGGTAAAACTATGGGACACTGATTTGATAAAAATGCTCTTATCCACCTTGCAACAGTTAACAAGTTTTTTTGATGAAATTTTAAACAGTGCTTAGGATCTAAATCCGTTGGAACTGCAAGATTTTAAGGCTTTCTAGATGCGGAGCTACGGATCCGGGTTCAAGGGGGAAACAATCCACCAAAAACGTCATAAAAAACTTTCTTACTCTCAAAACCCAAACAAGAGCCGAAAACTTATGTTGGATATCGAGATTAGTGATGTTGGATATCGAGATTAGTGCCTAAAGATCTCTTTTTTAATCTCCAGAGTCTAAAACTAAAGAATGCGCGAATTTTAAGTTCGAGGTTAAAAGTTCTGTAGAATAATGAGTAGCTACTTAAATATTTAACTTTCTCAATTTTAAATTTGAATTTCCCGGGAAAAATTTCACCCAATCAGAGAAAAGGATTTATATGGAGAATGTTACGTAACCATCGCTAATCAGCTGTTTTAGTTAACTTTTTAATATTTACGTAACCGAAAACAAAAAATATTTCCAGTTACTACCGTATTTTGGGTTTACGTGCAAACATTAATTAATTTAAAACGTGAAATTTATTAAATCAAGGGTTTTACTTTTAAATATATTGTAATTAGTTGAATGCGCGCCGCTTATCGCTGAATGATGATAGACAAATAGGGATTGCGGGATTTCAAGATTTTAACCATGTGTTTAATTTTAACTCGTCGATTTCGGCGAGTTAAATATTTAACCACAGGTTTAAATATTTAACCTCACGGTTAAAATTCGGGTTTAAATTAAGTCAGAAGTGGCATTTAACCATGAACTTAAAATTTAAGTCAAAACTTTTCGTTCTTTAGTTTTAGACTCAGATTAAGTAATGCATGTTATCCTCTTGTTATTTATCTCCAGATTAATTAACCGATCGGGGTTAAGGATATTTAATACTAGGGCTTTCAGCTCTGAACTGTTAAAAAAAGGAGAGATTATAAAAATTTGCTGATCTCTCATTGGTTCATCAAGTTTTAGTATAAAAATAAGCGTAAAAAGAAGAAAAATATTTTTACGATTCTGCTTTGCATAACAAATTCAGTATATCTAAAAGAAATGGTTATGACCTGGATCCAGATCAGGATCCATTTTATTCCCAGCACGGATCTAGGATCCGGTTCCGCATCAAAATTAAAGTAAAGCAGTGCTTAGGATAGATTCCATTTTTTTCCAGTGCGGATCCGGATCCTGGATCCGCACTAGAAAAAATGGATCCGGATCCAAGTCATTTCTTAAAGAATTACTGAATTTTTTTAACAAAAAATAATTTTCAAATTTTTTGTTTTTTATTTTTTTCGCTTATTTTTTCCTAAAACCATTCAGAAATGAGGAAAATTTTATAATCTCCCTTTGTTTCAAAAGTTCAGATTTGGTTTTAGGAGTAAATAAGTTTTTTTTTGCAGTTTTTGGTTGATATTTTACCCCTTGGATCCGGATCCATGGATCTGCATATTATTGCGGATCCGGATCCACTGAATTAAAGATTTTTCGGCTGTCCTGGACCAAGAATTTTCTGTTAATATTTATTCACGCACACGATCTCAGTTTGGGGCTTATTAATATACATCGTCTATCATTAGAATTGCCTTTAAAAACAGAATATAATTCATAGTTATTGTCTTATCCTGCCCCTGACAAGTTTANTATTTCTCCAATATCGTTTTGAAAAAATTGCATTTACTGCGCATCATAATTTGGAATGGATATTGGTAAAATTTGCGGAAATCTTGCAAACGTTGAGAAAAATGAGGTCAACTCCAAGGGTTCTATCTTCCTCGATTACTTGATTACACATTATGAAATTATTATTTGTCACAATTTCCGATTTTCCTGTCACACATTTCAATTTATTTAAGATAAGATCGTGGTAGACCTCCAATATGGAATCCTCAGACCACCATTGGCCAAAAATTGAAATATGTTTATACGTTTTTCACATCACATTTTATTTAACATAGAATAAAAACAGTAAAAATGATTCACGTCTCATGAGGATCATCCGTTTAAGAAGTCAAAAAACTGGAACGTTTCTTATATTCATATTTATACTATGCTTATCTTATTAAAAAAATTGTTTAAATACTATGCTTGTCTGCCTGTACATTTTTATTCAATAAACGTCAAAACGACTGAACCGAACGGGTCCAAATTTCAGGTGGGATCTGACATAACCCCACTGAAGGTTTATGGATGCTGAAAGTTACAATAATTTGTGCCGGAAAGTTTTTGATTGTTTTAAAATTTGAAACTGCGCGAAAAAATATGATCAAATCCGCAAACTTTTTGTTGTTTTTGTTCTAAATCATACTGCACAAAGAGAAGATGCTCACAGATAGAGCCACACTTAAAAGCTGAAATAGAAGATGGTCTAATATTACATATTTTATTTGACATTTTTTTTATAAATAAATTTGATAAATAGGAATAAAATATAGATAATGGATTCTCCTAATGGAATATATGTGTAGACCTTTTCTTCTTTCATCTTGTCTATCTGCTTCTTTACAATTGAATTTCTTTGGAGAATTCTTTTAAACTTGAATACAAGTCCCCTCCCCCTCATTTTCCTTCCCTAATTAATGAAGTTAAAGACTAGCCTACTGACCACCTCAATTTTTAATTATAACCCCTGAAATTCAAAAGCCATTGCTTTTTAACAATTTTTGATTGATTGAATAAAAAAGGTGATTCAGCAACATGTTCTAATATTTAAAAATCATATCTCCACAAACCACTCTCTTTAATAATAATTTCTTCCCCCTCTAGTGTAGATCAGAATTGTCCAAAGGATTAAGATAATAAGGGATCCTCAAATCTGCTAAAAGTTTACGTAAATTACGTATATATAGTGAGGAAAGGGTGTTTGTGAACATTAAAGTTTCAATTCAATAAACCCCAATAAAAAAACTTAAATGTGTGTTCTTGAATTTTTCTTGAAAGTTTTCCCCCCCCCCCCCCTGTTATAAAAATAACGAAGGTTTGTTGTTCAGGTGACTAAAGCTGAGATCCTACGGTTAATCTATCAGGGCAGATTCCTCCATGGAAATGTAACCCTGTCAGCCCTGGGCCTCCCCACTGGCAAAACTGCTGTTATGCACCTTGTACCCAGGTATACCAAAATTCCAAAATTCATATTTTTATTTACCAAAAAATTCTAACGATTTTAAAGAATCACTAAAAATGTCGCAGAAGTTGTTTAAAAGCTTAATTAAGAAGTATTACTTTTTATCACATTTTAAGTTTTAACAACTTTATTTTGCACTTAGAATGAAGCCTTTATAAAATTTAAAGTATAATTCTTGGTAGGGTTGTCATTAAGTGAACAGATGATGGTTTTTAAAAACTAATCTTTTCAAAATTAAAATTAAGAAGTTAAGTTATTTATTTAATTCCGAAAGCAGTCCCTTAATTAATGTTTTGTGTAGGGAAAGTCTACCCCAGCCCTCCTCCCAGGATGATCTTCATAAGAAGAAAACCAGTAGTAACACCTGCTGTGGTTCCTGCTCCTGTAATATACTCTAGGTACGTTTACAACGCTGTGTAAAGGGATTGTTTAAGGTTTTGGGTTAGGTTTGAGCTACCATATTACTCTAGATACATCCAGGATCTTTTAACAGCTCTTTTCAAATATGCGAATCCAAAGAGGGGGGGGGGGGAGGCAAGCCACGCCCGTTTAGCCTCCATCCCGCAATTTTCTCTCAAACATTAAGTTGCGGCAACGCGCTCACCACAAACCCCTATATCCTCCGGCCAAAGTTCTTTAAAAATCTAATTTAGCTTTTTTGTATTTTCAGGTTGAAATTCACAAAATATTCAAACAGAAGCGTGTCAAAATTACTAAATCCGCAAACAGCGAGAAGAAAAAATTATATTCAAGAATTATATTTAATATTTATTAGGGAGTGTATTGTACTGTATAACCTTTATTCGCTCCTTTCATTCTAGAATATTTCGTAGTTGTTGCATTATATATATACTATAGTCATATCAGCGCCACTCAAGGCTGATACTTGAAAAAGTGAAAATTTACATAAACTTCTTTCCGAATATATCTAGCAGGTTGGATGGAGCTGATTTACAAAATCAAATTTTTTTTTTCAAAGAATTTCATCATTCAACTGTTTGAATATAGATTTGAATGAGATCAAACGTTTCTCTGATTAATAGTAAACTCTTAATATAAAAATTATTCTGAAATTTTGAAAACTTTTTTACTTTAGAATAATTAATTAAGTGTCGACATCATAGAACTATTTTTTTTATTTATTCGTGGATAAGGAGGTTTCAAGATTGGTAAAAAGGGAGATCTGTAATATATATTTTCTTAAGTACTGGTATGTACTTCAAACTGAACTGTATGGGGGAAATCAAGAAGTAAAAAATTTAATGTACTTTACCTTCCTAAGGGGGGGGGGGGAATGAACCTCGGGGTACGTTGACGGAAGTGTAAAAGAGACATTTTATGTATAAAATGGAATGTCCGATTCATAACGGCACTTTTCAAAATTTGCAGAATCAAGAATGAAAAAAAAAATTCCATGGTTTCTCATGAATAATTTGATTTCTAATCATGTTTTCTCTGAAGAAGGAAATCATGATCGGTTAACAAGTTTCTAGCTAGAAAAACAAAATAATATCTTCCATATTATTGCTCAGATAAATGTTTAATGGGTACCGTTGTGAATCGGGCATTTCTTTTTAAAATGTAAAGTTGCTTGAAGTACGTCTCCAGCCTCTTATAGTCATATCTTACGAAGGTTAGTCTATCCAAAAATGGGGAAATTTGCCAGTTAAAGTTTTTTTAATACCTCCAGTAATATTCGCAATTTTCAAAATGTCTTCTATTTCAACTGAAATTGTAAAATAAACTTGTATTTTGAAATTTAGATTCAGGTTAGTTGAAAGGGAAGCTTTTCCCACTTTTTAAGAATGGTTTAAATTTGCCAATACGGACTCCTACTGAAAGAAATATATAGAGTATCAGGGGTATTAGTTTTTTTTCTACCCCCCCCCCTTCTCTAAAATCATTATATTATGAAAATTTTTTACAGGTAAAACTTTTTTGTTGTATTTGAAAAGTTTAGAGATAATAATTGAACGAAATTGAATTATAAATATCCTTGATGATTGAAGATGTGTTCTATCTACATTTTTTTTATTGATCTAAAGAAATTTTCCTGGTTTGGTTAAAATTTATTAGAAATTTTGTTACATAGCTGTTTTTATAAATTTGTTGTTACATTGTCTATATTCACTCAATTTTCCCCTTATTAGCTTGTCTTGCATTTTTACCCTTATCTTCCTCATTTTTCTCCGTTAAACATTGTTTTGTTGCTAAAATTGTTTAAATTAGGAAATAAGATAAAAATTTGAAAAGACATGTTTGATAACTTTGAGATTTTGAATATTTTTAATCCTGACTTTTATCAAGATTTGAATCGTTATGTACCTACCTAAGCGTACAAATTAAAATCAATACACTTGCACTCTGCCCTCCCCCTCCCCCCTAAAGACTGTCACAAACAACCATCTTTGTGCTTTCAAAAATTACTAATTTATTTCGTTTTATATGTTCAACATACATGTAGAATCATCTCAAATTAGAAATGTACTTTTAAATGACCTTTGATACTTGAAGATGGAAAAATCCGTTTTAACAAAATTTTAACTCACAAAAAATGTTTCCAAGGTATAAATGTGGAGAGCGTCGAAAGAAAGGTTAAATCATGATACGTCTCAAAAATCGGATCACCCCAGCCCCAAACCTACTGGTTATCATTTGCAATTTGATGGGAGTCGCTCAAAATCGGGTCAATTAAAAATACATTGAAATCCCCCTTTATCAAAAAAATGCGAAACAATATATCCACATTTTCCATATTTTTTTTATTTTCTTTGCGACTGGATTTTCTCATGCATAGTTATGCTGTTTCTATAAATACTGTATTAGAGTGTATCTAAATTATTCTGTATTATAAATGTTTTAAAAAATATAGACTAGTATGTATTTTGTTCTGTTTAACTGGTCCTGAGAATCAAACAAATTCTTGGGTACGAGGTCGGATTTAAAGGGTCTAGGTCAAGAATGTAATGCAAGGAAAGTTAATTGCGGTCGCGTATACTCTGCGTGCGTACATATTGAAACCAGTTCTCTCTGGGCGAAATTTGTAAACCAGAAAAGATGCCTCAGTGTCCGTATAGTATCCGAGGAGGTTAAAAGCATTGAATTTTGATAATTCACATAATAGTTTCCTATGACCAGAATATTTCATTGCTTTGTTATGTGAAAGATGGATCCCATGTCAGGCTTCGACATCCGTCTTGTGTTTACCATACCGCCCAGTGACAGTACACTGCAGTACAAAAGATGCGTACACCTCTGAATTAACTTTCCTTGCATTAAATCCTTGGGCTAGGTAATATATTTGTACCGAGAGTATAGTGTTATAGAGTAAATATTTTGGATTTATTTGATACCATTGAGAAAGTTTTCCTATGGATAATTTAGAAAGTTGACCATAATTTTTTAACATTTTTTTAGAATTTTAATTTTAACAAAAAATTAAAAAAAAACAGCAGTGAATTCATCTTTTTTTTTAGCTGATTAAACATCTGTTTTCTGTTCCTCTATTGTAGATCTATTCATTCTAATCTCTTGTATACAAAGAAAATCTGCATTTTGACACATTTCTTTTTTTATCCCTAATATTACGGATATTTCCCTGCAGAGCTGCAGCTCTCTTTTTTGCAATTTTTAGACAAAAAACTTTAGTTTTTAAATACTTTTTCTAACTAATTGATAACACTCCGAGTCGACAAGGTGAAAAGACAATACGGAGAGAATGACGGATAATGAACTATCAAAACATTATTATCAAATTTTTACCAGAAGTTATGAACCGCCGCGCAGAAGAATTCAATAATATGGACGAAAACCTATTCATTGTTAAGTAACGGAGTGAACATTAGTGAACAATCAATAATTACAGAAACTGGTAACTAAATAAGATTACTTAATACTTATAGTTTCGATGATAATAGTCAATTTTATTATCTTTAACTGTTCCTAATAAGTTAATAAGTCGAATTTTTTGTTACATTTTTCGTCCGGAATGAAATTGAAAAAAAAAGAATTTCGGCGGACGTCATATTTTTTTATTCGATTTTTGTTAAAAATAAATATTTGACATTTTTAATATCATAAGCAACTTTAAATACGAGATAAAAGATTATATTATTTTTCTGTTAAAGTACCTCTGTAAAATTACATTATTATTAAACAAAATAATAGTTGACGTTCCATTGATCCTGTGTAAAGAATGTGGAAGAACGCAAAGTTAAGTGCAACGATCGTGTTTGGAGGGGTTTTTGCAAATTTAACCATTGTTTATTCTTAACATTTGTTTTACTGCTGTCGAATTTTAACCAGGGAGTAAGGAATAGAAGGGAGATATAACTTACGCGGTTCGCCCTACCATATGATTATACATGCTTTACAGAGGAGTACTCCATTTGAATAAGAAATGTTTAAATGTCGTCTTATGCACAATTGCTGCATACATGTATTCAGAAAAGGTCATTGAAACATTTAACAGGGAAAAAAGTATGCTGAACATCGCCAAATAAATTCATTTTTTAAAATGCAAAATTATTAGCAATACAAACGTATTTTTTATATTAAATACGATTGTTTTTATTTATTATGGTAAAGTAACTATATTTAAAAAATTAAAAGACGACCTTAAAAAAAACTCTTTTTCAAATGGAGTACTTCGTTTGTAAAGCATGTATAATCATATGGTAGGGCGAACCGCATCAGTTATATCTCCCTTCTATTCCTTACTCCCTGGTTATAACCTTGAAAAAAAATATATGAAGAGTATAAAGATATTTTAAAGCTTAACAGAATACAGTTTTAAAACATAAACAGCCTAAGATAAAATTATATACTCTAGATATAAGATCGGTAGACTTTTTGAGGCCTTGAAAAATGATGTTAGCAGCACCATCTCTGTTTTACGTGTATCATGCATATTATCTTCTAGGAATGTTGTCGATTAATACGTTGTTTATTCGTGATAACACCAAATGTGTACTTTATCAACTATATATCCTGCAAATTGTATACTTAATGAAACAAGTTAATCAACGCAAATAAAACAGGTAGAAAGTTACTAAACAGAGGAAAGGGGGAAGGCAGGCGGTCATAAGCCACAAAACTTTTGACTTACATGCCACATATTAGCTTTTTTGTCTTCGGGCTGCCATAAGCCGCAGCCGTATGGTCTTCCTTGCCTCAGCATTTGAGTACCGGCAGTTATTACGTTTTTGAATAACAAATTTAGTGCATTGAAATGTGATTTTCAAAAATCCAGCGACGTCAATAATTTTCAAAATGTGGTCTACAATTTTTGTATCTTCAAAATTGACGGAGATATTCAATGTATTTAATAAATCAAAAATGTCTTAATATCTAATATCTTCGTCAATATTTAAGTTACAGGAAAAGTATAGACTACTTTTTGAAAAGCTCGTCAGACATATAGCCTCATTTTTAAAAATATTTTTTGCCATGCATCAAGTATCAGAAATCAAAGAGGACTTTCCCATGTTCATTGGGACACCCTGTATAAAAGAACCTTAGTTTTAAATTGAAATAATGACGAGGATTCCTTTTAACGTGAACTGCTAAACTTATTTTCCCCAAAAAGAAATTCAATCTTTCCTATAAAATGGCTTATTTTTTTTAAATTATGAACTCTTAAAATTGTTTCTGTAACACTCAGATAAAAACAGTTAATTTTGTGATTTTTCTCATCTTTTCTTTTTGTCACGGTGCCCACAATGCGTAAAATGATGAATAATTTTTCTTCGTATAATGGCCAGTCGAAATTGTTAAATTGTTAGTGAAACTTTTTTTCAACGAATTAGAATTTTAAACACTAACCTTGCAAAACATTTTACAAGAAATATGAAACAGAAGGGACAGTTTATAGTACAGGGTGTCCCAAAAAACATTGGAATTCTGTGATGAATTCGATATAGTCTTTGTTATGAATTAGCATTTGTAATACCTAATTTTGAAAACCATAATATTATTATATCTGCATAAGTTTACTCTGTTTGTATACTGTAATTTTCTTGTTTCACTAAGTACAACCGTATGCAGTCAAAACATAAACAAACAAAATGTGAACATAGCAGACGAAAATCTTACAGATTACAGCTTTCTCAGTAGGTTTTCACTATACTAAATCAAAGAATTAAGTAATACGACGATATTGAATTTGTCACTGAATTCCCATGTTTATTGGGACACCCTGTATAACAAATATTACGATGTTAATTCAATAATTCATTTAAATCAGGTAGAGAGAGAATTCATTCTTGAATGAAAAAGAAATGAGATAATTGATTACTGTTAAAAAGTACAAGGTTATAATTGCAAAAAAAGATATAAGATTTGAATGGTGTATGGTTGAACTTATAGGTTATTTTCTTTTTATAAACACTTAATACTTCAAACCAAAAGTAAATGTTCTAAGGGACTGATGTAATTTCAAGTTACCAACCCATTAAAGGTTCTAAAAACGATATGTTATGGACTATGGACAAATTAAATATTTTAAGATAAAAAACTAAAGTGGTTTCCTTTTAAATAACTATTTAACTCGTTGCAAAAGACGACATCATGAAACGTCGACAGGTAAATGTATTTAATTGATTTCTGGAGAAGATGATATTACTTACTATCTATGTCTACCCGGAAAATGCGTCAAATTTTCTTAGATTTTCTGATGCGCTATCTTTAATTAACAAAGTCTTTGGAAATAACTAAATGATTTTTTTGTTGTTTTTGTATGGGTGTATCTGATTATATGATTGTATTACATCCGTCTTACGATACTTAGGACCTACCTGCACCCGCACCCGGATACACACTCAATTGAAAAAAGTTATTTTTATTTAAAACTTAAATATATATACAGTTCCTAATGTATATTCAGCATATTACGTCGATGGATTTTCGAAAATCACAATTTCAATACACTAAATTTATTGTTTAAAAACGTAATAACTGCCGGAAGATTTGAATACTGTGGCATGGAATTTTTCCCAAATGGCAACTTCCTAAGTCTAAACTATGGCCGCAGCACTGGGCCTCATTGCTGCCCGCCGCGCCTTGGACAGCCTAACCAAATCCTTGGAAAGTTGCACTCAAAAATTGCACATTTGGGAAGTCGCCCTTATGAAAATAACTTTGGAAAAATACCTAACACTGTGGCTCATGGCTGCCAGAAGACAAAGCTAATATATGATACGAAAGGAAAAATATAGTGGCTTATGGCTGCTCACACAACAGACATTAAGTAGGTTTTTATTTATTTAATACAACATAAATTTATTACATTTTTGGTATCAATAATATATCATTAAAAAATTTAACATCCTGAATAATTAAAAGTTAAGTTTTTTTTTAATCTTCCTGACAGAAACAGTCTCAAGAACTGACGATCCCAGACCGAAATATATTTTAAATAAATGTGGAACTCAAAACTTATTTTTTTACTCTACAGAGGTTTGGTCCACCACCATCACCGAATTTTAAAATTAAAAATAAATCGGAGAGAAGAAGAAAACATAATAAAAGGTTACAATAGAATCTCACAATTTCATGATATATTCAAATGCATTTTTATGCTATAATCAATAAAGCCGATTTACGTTCTTGCAAAAAAAAGAATAACATTTTTATTTTATACATTAAAACAAAAACTATAAAATCTAGTGATAGCTCATAAAAAGTTTAAAAATCACCACATTGATGTGACTGTATCATATTTATAAAGGGCATCAATCTCATTCTTGTATTTCTCAAGCACAAAGTGACGTTTCACCTAAAAATATGCATATTTAAAGGGACTGTAAGCTTAATACCCTAGAAAACTAGACACAGTTTTCTAGTTTAGTGTTTAATTATCAGAATTACTTAATGTTTTCCTGCCGTAGAAATTGTCAAGAAACAACAATTGAAAATAATTAAAGTTAAAACTATTGGTATCTAATTCATACTTGATCAAAAAGCTTTTAAGGGTACCGTTGTGAATCAGACATTGCCACCTTTGAATTGAAGGTCTCGACTTAAAGGGACTGATTCTTGACCATTTATCTGAATGTCACCGTCGAAAAAAATTGTTGTTTAAATGCTTAGGTCTCTCTCCTACCCAACATAAGATACCATAAATTTTATCATGGACAAACAACAATTTACAACAACGCGCTTTTACTTCAAACTGAATAATTTTTACCAGGGATCGAATTTAATAAATTTGACCTGGATCGCCAAACTACCAATTTGAATCACTGATTCACTGATTCAGCGACCTCTCCAATTCATTAAATTCGGTTTCAGATAAGATCAGTCAGGGGCATAGTCAGAAGTTTGTCCAGGGGAGGCTTTGATTTTTTTTCCAGGGGAGGGGGGCTCAGCACCCGTTGGGGCCAGAAAACCCCCTGAAATCCATAGATTTTACTGGTCCAGGGGGGGGGGGGGGGGCTTAGCCCCCATAGACACCCCTTGACTAAGCTTCTGAGAGCAGTGATTTTTTGATGTGTTTAATTTTTTTAAATTAAGTTTTTTGATCAAGTGCTCCTTAGGAAACGATAAGCTTAAAGAAAATTAATTGATGAAAAGTTTTTTATTCAGTGCTTTTATTCAGAGAGGAATATTTTTCCGAAAATTTTATCTCTCTCGTCTACCGAGAAAAAACATTCTGACAGGTTTAAGGGACTGTGTTCGAATTTTTGTTTTTATCCTTTTTACTGAGCCCGCGATTTAAAATATTTGGGAAAACACGGCTCAGGTCTAAACTGTTGTTGGCCCTTATGTACGACTTGAGCTTTCGGATTCAGGCTGCATCTTATTTTCCATAGAGTTGAGTTCAAACAACCGGTTTAATATTCTATCTAGCGGATTTTCAACTACATAACATTGAGCCTTATTCTCCACTAAAAACAACCAAGGTCGGTTTTATCTTCATTGGACCTTACTCCTTAAGTCGAGCCGAAGATTATACAGCTGTCAATCACCTGACACAAGCTGGCGCCAGAGTTGGGTTGAAGATTCGGTCTTAAAGTCGGGTTTAAGTTTTTACATCGCGGGCCCTGAGACTATTTGGATACCATGGGTGATTTGATTTGATATAGTTACACAAGCTTAATCGTTCAATTTTAATTAACGATGTAAACAAAATTAAAAAAAGATAATTACTTTATAATAATCATTAATCAGCTTCTAAAATTATACTTATGGTATAATAATCTGCAAGAAGTTGGTTCGTTTCAGATAGTTTTTGGGTTTGTAAAGGTTTCAGATAGTTTTTGGGTTTGTAAAGGTTTCACAAAAATCCGATAAGTTAAACAAATTTAAAAATTATTTATCTTAAGTTTTGTTTTTCTTACACTAAGCCAAATTTTAACCCTGAAAGGAAATAAATGAAAATATGAACCAGAAACGATTTTTAGAGGCATTCACAACGGTACCCTTTAAACCTTTGACTGAGCATTCACAACGGTACCCTTTAAACCTTTGACTGAGCATTCACAACGGTAACTTTTACACCTTTGACTCCCTTTAAACATTTGACTGGGCAGTCACAACGGTACCCTTTAAACCTTTGACTGAGCATTCACAACGGAACCTTTTAAACCTTTGACTCCCTTTAGACCTTTGACTGAGAATTTACAACGGTACCCTTTAAACCTTTGACTGAGCGTTCACAACGGTACTCTTTAAACTTTTGACTGAGCATTTACAACGGTACCTTTAAAACCTTTGACTTAACATTCACAACGGTACCATTTAAACCTTTGACTGAGCATTTACAACAGTAGCCTTTAAACCTTTGATTGAGCATTCACAATGGTACCCTTTAAACCTTTGACTGAGCATTCACAACGGAACCTTTTAAACATTTGACTCCTTTTAGACCTTTGACTGAGAATTCACAACGGTACCCTTTAAACCTTTGACTGAGCATTTACAACAGTAGCCTTTAAACCTTTGACTGAGCATTTACAACAATAGCCATTAAACCTTTGACTGAGCATTTACAACAGTAGCCTTTAAACCTTTGACTGAGCATTTACAACGGTACCTTTAAAACCTTTGACTGAGCATTCACAACCGTACCTTTAAAACCTTTGACTGAGCATTTACAACGGTACCTTTAAAACCTTTGACTGAGCATTCACAACGGTATCCTTTAAACCTTTAACTGAGTATTTACAATGGTATCCTTTAAACCTTTGAGACAGACAGGCAAAGTTTATACATAGAAGAAAGATTACTGCACTTCATGTTAGTTAATCCCATTATTACCTTCATTGTTGGTGTTAGCTCCCCTCCTTGCAAGCTGAACTCTTCAGGTGCGATCATAAACTTGTGAACCCTGCGAATATTAGTCGCATATGAATGTCGTCATTTATAAACATAAAGTATTGTCATTTATAAACATAAAGTACTGTTTGTTTTTTGTTTGTATGTCCGACCATAACTCATGATCCCTGGACCGATTTGCCTCAAAAATTTGATTGAAGAAATCGGTTGCAACACGGGAATGTTCTTAGCTTGGTTTCAAAATTTTAAATTGATAGGTTGACTTTTATTGGGAACACTCCAGGCAACACTGGGTTCGCAAGTTAGTTAATTTATAAAGTAGTAATCTCTGTTTGCTAGTTTGAATGTCAGATTACGATTCAGTAACCCTTTGGACCGGGGAACTCGACAGAACCATGCAATTGTTTTAGCTGGTTAAACAGTTCAAAGTTGAGTAAGTTGATATGGTTGGGTTTCCAGGTAAAGCAGAGTTCCTCAGCTTAAAGTCTAACATAACGCACAATTAAGGCATTAAGTTCTCAGGGAGCAGCTTGGTGGGGTGGAGGGTTATTTCTGTCAAGAGATAAAGATTACATTTTGTGGTTTTGCATTTCTTGAAAATTTGCGGTAAAGGGTTTCGTAAGAGAAAATTTGATAGTTGGAAATTAGTTATTCGTCAAAGGAAAAATAGCAATTAAAAATGTTTACTCTCAGCTCTCGACTTGAGGAGAATGAACTCGAAAAGATCAGACTAATTATTAGCATAAAATTGGAAGTTTTTCGTCAAGGGGAAAAAGATCATTTTTAGTCTCAGTTCTCGACTTATGAATTAAAGCCTTTAGGACTCGAAAAAGATTTTTTTTAAGGGAAATTTATCTTAGTTAGAAACTCATAATCCCGATCACTTGATCTCGGTATTCACTTGGGCACAGTGTACGATTACCATCAAGCATTGATCTCATTTACAATACAAGAGTTTCCAGCTCTAAATGAATTTTTGTGTCCTTTAAACGATGGACTCTGAGATATGGTCAATGGACAATGGATATGTGAATTCAACAACACAGAAATTGAACGAATGTAATAAAGATAATAAAGACAAGTTAATACAAAATTGGAAGCCATTTTTTGTTTATTTTGTGTTCTTAATTTTATTAATTGGTTTAAAATTCTGAGTTGAGTGGGTTAATTTTTAAAGAGATAAAACAGGATATGATCATTGTAATTTAAATGTTGACCCTCCCCCCCTATTTACTTACACTCCTCAGACCCTCCCCCCATCCCCATTGTATGCGCTATGTCAAGAACTACCAAGAAAAAGTTGTGGGGGAGTCATCTAATTTAATAAAATAGTTCAAAGGAGCGAGATGAGAAGAATTTTTGTCAAGAAATGTAAAATTTAATACTGAAGAACTGATTTTTACTCTATCTTTATTCTGACAGGGGAGGAGTATTGTGTTTTTAAAGTTAAAGCGAAATAAAACAATACAGGGCAGCGAAAACATGCAACTCATGTTTCTTTTTATTTTAATCTTCTATCAATTTTTTCTAAGGATCATTTAACAGACCCAATAAAATCTTTTGATTTCCCCTGTATCCCTACTATACTGGTTAGCTGGATGGAGACGACTAAACACTGTTCTTTCCTGGTTAGCTGGATAGAAGACGACTTATCACTGTATTCCTAATGGTTAGCTGGATGGAAGACGACTATCCACTGTACCCTACGGATTAGCTTGATTCAAGACTTCTAACCACTGTATCCCTACTTGTTAGCTGGATGGAAGACGACTAACCGCTGTTGTTAGGTAATTTTCCAAAGGCCTTTTCCCAAGTGAAACTTACCAAGTGACATTTTCCCAAGTGGTGACTTCCAAATGTGCAATTTTCCAACTTCCCAAAGGTTAGGTTGGCGCTGGCTACAGGGGGAGGGGGAAGGCGAGCGCTGCAGCTGGTATGGGCAATTCAAGGGGCTAAAACAGACTTTGGAAGTTCCATTCCACATTTGAGAATGCCACTTGGAAAAATACCCTTGGGAAGTTAAATCTTGGGAAAATGCCTCAGATAAAGTACTTATCATCTAATCACTGCAACCTTCTGGTTAGCTAGATGGAATACAACTAACCTCTGCGCATTGCTGACAGCATGTTTGTTAACGGTCTTGATTGATTTCAAAATGGCTGCCTTTACTTCGTCATTGTCCTCTCTGAATAGAAAAAGATATTCAACCAGTTAAAAAATAATACTCAAACATTATCAAAATAAAGTGCAGCTTAAAAGATTAATGTAAAGTCAGAAAAAAATCACAAATTTTCGAATTTTCAAATTTTCAAATCCGTCAAGTTTACAATACTGAACACTGATTTTTGTTTATAAGATCCATCAATTTTCCTCCAAAGACTGTTGGGTTTAGCATAAACCTACTTTATAAGTTCGACTGCAGTTGTTGCCTCTGATCCCAAATTGGTTAACCAGGTTTGTACATCAGGATGCAGTTTACTGGTTGGCTGATTCCTTTACAAAAATTATTTCAAGTGATTGTAGACGTATTTCAAGGGATTGTAGACGTATTTCAAGTGATTGTAGTAGTGACACATTCCTGTTCAAGTGATTAATTCAAGTACTAGTGACACATTCATGTTCAAGTATTTAATTCAAGTACTAGTGACACATTCCTGTTCATGTGTTTAATTCAAGTACTAGGGACTCATTCCTGTTAAAATGATTAATTCATGTACTAATCACTTATTCCTGTTCATGCGTTTAATTCAAATACTAGTGACTGATTCCTGTTCATGGGATTAATTCAAGTTCTAAAGACTGATTAATCTTTATGTGTTTTAAATTCAAGTACTAATGACTGATTCCTGTTCATGTGTTTAATTCAGGTACTAGTGACTGATTCCTGTTCATGTGTTTTTAATTCAAGTACTAGTGACCGATTCCTGTTCAAGGGATTAATTCAAGTACTAAAGTGACTAATTTTTGTTCATGTGTTTAATTTAATTCAAGTCCTAGTGACTGATTCCTGTTCATGTGTTTTATTCAAATACTAGCAACTCATTCCTGTTCAAATGATTAGTTCATGTACTAGTTACTGATTCCTGTTCATGTGTTTAATTCAAATACTAGTGACTCATTCCTGTTCAAATGATTATTTCATGTACTAGTGACTGATTCCTGTTCGTGTGTTTAATTCAAATACTAGTGACTCATTCCTGTTCAAATGATTAGTTCAAGTACAAGTGACTGATTCCCGTTCATGTGTTTAATTCAAATACTAGTGACTTATTTCTGTTCAAATGATTAGTTCATGTACTAGTGACTGATTGCTGTTCATGTGTTTAATTCAAATACTAGTGACTCATTCCTGTTCAAATGATTAGTTCAAGTACTAATGACTGATTCCTGTTCATGTGTTTAATTCAAGTACTAGTGACTGATTCCTGTTCATGTGATTAATTCAAGTACTATAGTGACCATTCCTGTTCAAATGATTAGTTCATGTACTAATGACTGATTCCTGCTCATGTGTTTAATTCAAGTATTAGTGACTGATTCCTGTTCATGTGTTTAATTCAAGTCAGGTTCAAGATTTTAAGACAAGTACTAATGCCTAATATATATTAATCTAAAGTGCAGATGGCTGATTTCCAAAAGTATTAGGTATGAACTAAATGAAACAATCCTTTAAATTGGTAAAAATAAAAAATCAATATTTTCTTTAACAATTTGTTACCAGGGAGGAGTATTTAAAGTTTGTATGCTTCTTTTTTTTTAAGACATCCAAATAAAAACTGTTCTTTGTTGTTAACTTCATGGAATGATTAACAACTGTATCTACTTCTTAAAGGGACTGTCCTTGTAATTTTAAATGGCCATCAATGCCCTATTCACAAAGGTGACCTTTAAACCTATCTCTTAGTAATATTGTGGAAGATATCTTCGGTTTTTAGCTTGAAAAGTGTTCAATTCTGACAATTCCCTTTATTGCTTTTGAAGCAGAAATGTTAATCGTACTTTAAGAAAGACAAAATTTAAAATAACCAATTTCAAAATTGTTGATGATGGAAAATGAGCATCTATTGCAATCTTGTTCCTAGGTACCCTGCTCTATAATAATGAGTCACTAGAAATTACACATACAGTCCCTTTATTGTGATTTATTGCTTACTTGTTACCGACAACATGCCTTTTTCCGCTGAAATAATTTATTTCTTCATCAGAATTATCTTTTTTACTTTCTTTTTGGTGCAATTCGTTCTTTATTTATGTTGTTTTTAATGTATTTATGAACATGATCTATAGTGAACTTTTTATTCAACAGTGCCATGATCGATCCAAAACAGTTTTATGTTTTATATTAACAGATATATGTGTGTATTAATATACCTGCTATCCAAAATAGTTTAATGTATGATATTAACAGATATATGTGTGTATTAAAGGGAGTGACCGGCTATGTAAGGCAGTTGAACTGAGTATGCAGTGTTGTGGAAATTCGCAAATTCGACGTTCAAAACTCCTACTTTGGGGGTGAATACGTTTTCAGAATTAGTTTTTTTTTTATTATTAAATAACGACAACGAAAAATAAAGTAAAAATTATACAGATGGTTAGGAAAATGTTTTTCAAAGCAAATTTGTCAATAAATCAATGATAAAATCGATTATCTCGTTTTCATTATTATATTGAATTTCTTATCTTCTTTGAATTTATTCGCAGATTTCTTCAAATTCTTCAAATGTCGTCTTTTCAATAATAATTCTAGAAAATCTTCGAAAATCTTTGTGAATAATTAGAAACCAGAATAATGAGAAAATAGAAACTAATAATTGAACAAGATTACTTATTTTCGATGATAAGATTAATTTTTATTTTCTCAACATGTTCCTTTACATGACGTCTGTAGTTTTTTATTATTCTTATTTAATACTTTCAATAAACTAATTCTGAAAACGTATCCACCCCAAAAGTAGGAGTTTTAAACGTAGAATTTGCGATCAAACTCAGGATTTACAGACCTTTAAAAAGTTTAATATGTCTCAAGTGAATCCGAAAGAAGTTTTCCACAACACTGCATACTCAGTTCAAATGCCTTACATAGCCGGTCACTCCCTTTAATATACCTGCTATCCAAAACAGTTTTTAGTGTAATTATAACAGATAAATGTTTCCTGTAATTAACAGTTCATTAGATAAAAAAAATGAAAGTTTAAACCTTATTTGTGCAGTTACAAAGCCACCTTATAATTTGATTGATATTTGACTTAAGAGGAATGACATCTTTGCCCCTAACTGAAATTTTCTAATCTCTATATCTTTGCAACATGATGGTGTAAAAAATTAATATTTTACAAACTTAGATGATCTAATCTAACAGAATTAATAGTTTTAAATATCTAAGGTCTACAAATTTGAATTGGAAAGATATATGGATAAATAAATCTGAGTTTGAGACCAGGATAAGAAAATCTGAGTTTGAGGGCAAAGACTCAATTCCTTTGGCTCAGATTAGTTTTTACAGCTCTGTGACAACGGTACCCATGAAACTTTTAAATGATAAATAATATAGAAGATATTTTAGTGTTTTAGCTTGAACAGAGCTTTTAATTTGACAATTTCTCCAATGCAACTGATAGCAGAATTTCCACAGTTGGAAAAAAAACGAACTAATTCAACTTGATCAAGCATAGCTTTAAGTTTCTCATTGTACATCAGACAATCCAATCTTCAAATGGAAGCTCGCTTGAAATCCCTGTTTCTGTTCCTTTAAACCGACAAATATCATATTTTACTATTAATGAACTTTTAATAAACTTAAACAGCCAAAAAAACAATAAGAACTAAGAAAAGCATTAATCATTATTCATTATTTATAAAAATTCACACCATTTGTACTGCATTAAATAATTTGAAGATGAAATGAAATTATTTTAATCTTGCGAACTAATTTAGGGAAGGGGGTGGGGGGGGGTTAAAGGCCCCTTTTTACCACTTCTAGTGAACTATATTCCTCGCATCTCCTATCACCATAACATGACTGCATATTTCTTCTAGTTCAGCCCTGAGCAGATCTTCTATAGGTACAGGAGCAATATTCTCCCCTCCTCCTATATTAATATTAGTTAAAGGAGCAATATTCTCCCCTCCTCCTATATTAGTATTAGTTAAAGTTGCAATATTCTCCCCTCCTCCTATATTAATATTAGTTAAAGGAGCAACATTCTACTCTCCTCCATATATTTTAATAATGTTCTCCCCTCCTCCATATATATTAATAATATTCTCCCCTCCTCCTTCATATTTATTAATAATATTCTACCTCCTATATTAATATTAGTTAAAGGAACAATATTCTCCACTCCTCCTATATTAGTATTAATTAAAGGAGCAATATTCTATACCCTCCTCCTATATTAGTATTAATTAAAGGAGCAATATTCTCCCCTCCTCCTCTATTAGTATTAATTAAAGGAGCAATATTTTACCCTCCTCCTATATTAGTATTAATTAGGAGCAAAAATTTATTTTCACGCTTCGCGCGAACTTCTTTCCCCACCGTTTAAAATCCCGTGTGCGCACCTGAGGTGTATATTTGGGGATAATAATAAATATCTGTTTGTAAGGTTTAGCAAATTGTTTGAAATGGTAAGAATTAAAAAAAAATTTGATTTAGCTTCTAACCTGTGATAATCAGCTCTTTCATTCGTCCACAGACATAGATAAATCCATCCTCATCAATTCTACCCAGATCCCCACTATGCACCCAACCATCTTCATCTATCAGTTCTCTAGATATATAAATAAGCAGCATCCTACCTAGATCCCCACTTTGCACCCAACAATCTTCATCTATCAGTTCTCTAGATATATAAATATTCAGCACCCTACCTAGATCCCCACTATGCACCCAACAATCTTCATCTATCAGTTCTCTAAATATATAAATAATCAGCATCCTACCTAGATACCCACTAAGCACCCAACCATCTTTATCTATCAGTTCTCTAGATATACAAATACCAACCTAGATCCCCACTATGCACCCAACCATCTTTATCTATCAGTTTTCTAAACATTTTATTATCGGCCACCCTACCAAAATTAAAATCTTTACTTTTAAATGAACTGTAGACATACATTCAAGTGAGCTTTCATTTAGAGTGGCATGGCCAATTCACTCCGATACTCGTATAAGCTTTGTGATATCAATAAAAGAGATATTTATAACCTTTAAAATTTTAAATATTCAATAAAAGAGATATTTATAACCTTTAAAATTTTAAATATTTTTGATTGACTTGTGAAGAAAATTTAGAGAATTAAACACTTTTTAAGCAAGAAAGAACGACGATATCTCAAAATTATTGATTAGGTTAAGATTTAAAGGGTAGTGTTGTGAGTCAGGCATCTTTAATATTAGTATTATTTTTAAAGGAAACCCCGTCGTTCTTTAAACTTAATTGAAATTTATGAAAAATTTAAGTACTTTGTTTTTTCTTCGTCCCAAAGATATCCCATACAGACATTTCTTCCTCGCGTACAGATCTCTCCAATACCGTCTTTGTCAGGTTTCAAGATCTAGTACAGTACATAATAATTAAATTATGAACGTATTGACTATTGAGTTCAATATCTAGTACAGTAAGTAATAATTAAATATTGAACTATGTACAGGGTTCAATATCTAGTTCAGTACATAATAATTAAATATTAAACAATATACAGGATTCAATATCTTGTACAGTACATAATAATTAAATATTGACAAATACATAGGGTTGAATATCTGGTACAGTACATAATAATTAAATATTGACAAATACATAGGGTTCAATATCTAGTACATTACATAATAATTAAATATTGAACAATATACAGGATTCAATATCTTGTACAGTACATAATAATTAAATATTGAACAATATACAGGATTCAATATCTTGTACAGTACATAATAATTAAAAATTGAAAAATATACAGGATTCAATATCTTGTACAGTATTTAATAATCAAATATTGGCCAATAGATAGGGTTCAATATCTTGTACAGTATTTAATAATCAAATATTGGCCAATAGATAGGGTTCAATATCTAGTACAGTACATAATAATTAAATATTGACAATATATAAGGTTTAATATCTTGTAAAACTCATAATCATTATAAATTGAACAATAAACAGATTAAGCATAAAATAATTAAATTTTGTTTATCATTTAATTTCAACAGAGCCTGAACTCGGCAATGTACAATGTAGAGATATAAACGTTTAATGTACTTAAAAGTACATTGTACATTAAAGAGATCTTAATAAATATAAAATTATTTTGATTTAATATTCTAGCTCAAAGTAGTAACCATTTTATTGTGAAAGAGTTCTTTCATTATCTTTATATCTCTAATTTAATCTCTAATTTATAATCTTTACATCTATAATTTATAATCTACATATCTTTAATTTATAATCTTCATTTCTCTAAATAATAATCCTCAACTCTCTCATTTAAAATTTTATATCTCTAATTTATAATCTTAATATCTCTAATTTATAATCTTCATACCTCTAATTTATAATCTTCATATCTCTAATTTATAATCTTCAAATCTCTAATTTATAATATTCATATCTCTCAATTATAATCTTGAAATCTCTAATTTATAATCTTTATATCTCTTAATAATAATCTTGAAATCTCTAATTTATAATCTTTATATCTCTTATTAATAATCTTCAAATCTCTTAATAATAATCTGGAAATCTCTAATTTATATTCTTCATATCTCTAATTTATAATCTTCAAATCTCTAATTTATAATCTTCATATCTCTGATTTGTAATCTTCATATCTCTGATTTGTAATCTTCATATCTCTGATTTGTAATCTACATATCTCTGATTTGTAATCTTCAAATCTCTAATTTATAATCTTCATATCTCTAATTTGTAATCTTCATATCACTAATTTATAATCTTTATATCTCATATTTATAATCTTCAAATCTCTAACTTATAATCTCATATCTCTGATTTGTAATCTTCATATCTCTAATTTATAATCTTCAAATCTCTAATTTATAATCTTCAAATCTCTAATTTATAATCTTTTTATCTCTGATTTGTAATTTTCATATCTCTAATTGGATAACACCAGGATTCAATGGTTTAAATATAGGACTCACTATAATACTAACGAGGTAAAATATTAGTTTAACACAGAAAATGACGGAGAATTAACTAGAATTTGTTAGAAATATTTATAACGAGACATCTCTCCTCCTGATTATTTTCTTGACCGTGAAAAGCCTGAATCTTCTTTGCTCCTCATCTTAAAATTGTACAAAGTGTCTCTGAAAAAAGTGTTTAAGCATTTTCGCGTACATTTTCAAATATTTTGAAAGTTAAAACGGCATTTAAGAGCAAAAAATTTCATCGACGATGTTTTTCAGCAATACTCTGTAGGCTTTTTGGAACAACCATTATGAAACTTTTGATTGTTAAGGAATTTTATCTTGATAGTTATTTTTGACCTATTTTTGTCTTTGAATAAAAAACGAATGGTAACCTGAAGCCTCCCCCCCACCACTCCCCAATTTAGCCAATTTTCAGTGATTCCAGATCGTACAGGATCTACCTTTACACACCCTACTCACCACTGTTTCAAAGTAAAGTTAGGATCTACCTTTACACTCCCTACTCACCACTGTTTCAAAATGTAGGTAGGATTTACTAACACTTCCTACTCACCACTGTTTCAATATGTAGGTAGGATCTACTAACATTCCCTATTCACCACGGTTTCAAAGTGTGGGTAGGATCTAATAACACTCACTAATCACCACTGTTTCAAAGTGTGGGTATGATCTACCTTCACACTCCCTACTTACCACTGTTTCAAAGTGTAGGTAGGATCAACCAACACTCCCTACTCACAACTATTTCAAAGTGTAGGTAGGATCTATCAACACTCCCTACTCACCCCCGTTTCAAAATGTAGGTAGGATTTACTAACACTTCCTACTCACCACTGTTTCAAAGTGTAGGTAGGATCTATCAACACTCCCGACTCACCACTGTTTCAAAGTGTGGGTAGGATCTACTAACACTCCCTACTCATCACTGTTTCAAAGTGTGGGTAGGATCTACCAACACTCCCTACTCACCACTGTTTCAAAGTGTGGGTAGGATCTAATAACACTCCCTACTCACCACTGTTTCAAAGTGTGGGTAGGATCTACCAACACTCCCTACTCGCATCCCAGCTCCTGGAAGGCAGGCAGTCTGTGGTCCACCAGTCTCACTGCTACCAAGGAGTTCAAGAATTGGCATATCTGAACCAAATATTTTGTCAAATGATTTCGAAAAGAATTTTAAACAATGAAGAACTTTTAAGATAAAACGCACCCAAAATCCTTGGTTTTTCAAAACATCACCAAAAGCAACAAATTAATTCATATTTTAAATTTTCAATTAAAAAAAAACAGGCTATCCTACTTAAGGGTGAGAGAATTTCAGATTGTCTTTTTTTGTTAATAGATGTCTAACATCAAAATATAGATCAAATAAGGTTTGCAAGACTTATAGCATATTCAAGTTAATAGGTCATTTAACGTTTCGATAAATTTTTTTCATTTAACAGAAAACGAATTGATTACAGGCCTTCGTTAAAGAATACATCAAGATTATTTCATCTCGTTTAAAAATTTCCATTATTACATTTTTTTCCTCATAAGATTATCATATTATTTAGTTTCCTAAAGATAAAAAGTATTGAAAAGTCTGTGGTGAGAGTGGAGCCGCGCTGGAGAAAAATCCTCCATTGTTATCTGGATGTCCGGCTACCTCCAACCCTTTCAATAAATATTTATTACTATAAATTATATTGAAATTTTAATGATATCTATTCTTTCAAAGCTTGATCCCATGATATAATCACATTTTATTTTATTTACAACTGACAAAAAGTGATTTTTTAAATGAATCAGAGGCAATTCCCTTCTTTAAAGCTGACCAGAGCCTGCGATTTAAGGACTTCGGTTCGAGCACTAATTACTTAAACCCGATTTTAAGACCCAATCTTTGACCCAACTCTGACGACAGCTTGTGTCACGTGATTGACAGCTGCAAGATCTTCAGCTCAACTTAAGGAGTTAGGCTTGATGAAAATAAAACCGACCTTGCTTGGTTTTAGAGGAGAATAAGGCTCAATGTTGAGTATTGTTCTCATAAAAACCTGGAATGCTACTATGAAAATCCGCCAAATAGAATATTAAACCGGTTTTTTTAAACTCAACTCTGGAAAATAAGATGCAGCTTGAATCCGAAAGCTCAAGCATTAAATAAGGCCCAACAACAGCTAAGACCCGAGCTGTATTTTCCTGAATTTTTAAAACGGGGCTCAGCCCATTTAACGGATTCTTCTAAGAAATCAGAAATTAGAGAAGAAGTAATAGCAAATAATAATACAGGATTGGTCAAACCTGTTAAAATACAGAACAATAAGAATTTATGTTGTGCTAAGAATATTACTGAATATAGAACAAATAAGAAACTACTTGATGATTTATGTTGTGCTAAGATTATTACTGAACATAGAACAAATAAGAAACTACTTGCTGATTTATGTTGTGCTAAGATTATTACTGAACATAGAACACTGAACATAGAACAAATAAGAAACTACTTGATGATTTATGTTGTGCTAAGAATATTACTGAATATAGAACAATAAGAAACTACTTGAATATTTATGTTGTGCTAAGAATATTACTGAATACAGAACAATAAGAAACTACTTGAATATTTATGTTGTGCTAAGAATATTACTGATGTTCCAATGAATAATTTTATACGTACCTAACGCTGCATGAATTTTCCTTAATATCAACCACCTGGCGACAGTGTAGCTTATGCTTTGGCCTAAGAACAAAATAAATGCTCAAAAATTTACCTTTTTGATAGTGAATGGGCCAGGGTCTGGGAGGGGGATATTGACGCTTTGTACTTTAAACATGATTTATAGGACTATGGGTAATTTCCTCCTAAATAAAACCCCAAAGTTTTATCATTATTTCCCGAAATTATAATCTTTTTTTAGAAATTACTCCTTCCGTTAAAAAAGTAGATTTCACACTGTTAGGAAATAAAAAAGTAATAATATTTTGAAGAAGAAGAAAGGTTACCCCTTTTCCCCGCCATTTTGTCTGTATGATGCTGTAGCGCGGCATTCTTAGCCCAGTCCATGACGGTCTTCTTTATACCGCTGTTATTTTTTCCGAGTTCTTTTAACTTCTCTTCAATCTTTTCCCAAACACGTGGCACACCTACAGATTGTTGTAGAAGTTAATATAATTCAACTGTTTTATTTAAATCTTAATAATGATGTACTGTACTGTATACATTGAAATAAACTAGTCTCTAGTTTGTATGTGGTCTTCATAATTTGGCATATCCTATTATGGTGTAAGATTTTTCTGAAATTACGTATTTTACACAAAAATCAAAATGGCAAAAAGGTTTTAATGCTAAATAAATGTGAGATGATTTTTGCAGAATAGTAGCCAAAACCAAAAATTTATTATGTTGTAAATTAACATACTTTTTGAGTAGCTTTTTTTTTATTAAGGAGTAGTGAGCCACAAGAAACAATGAGCTAAAAATATTGTTACCTAAAAATTTTGTTGGGTTAACTTCTTTGAGCGTATTTATCAAGGAACCCTGGAGTGCTTCTTTATCAGCAAATGATATGGTTGCTCCCCCATACGCTGATAGATAGATATCTATGATCTGCGCAGCCACGTGAGAAAGGGGAAGATAAGAAATGCCATGTTCACAATCCATCTTCCAATCGTACATACCCTGTACTGCATTTACCGTCCATGTTATGTTGTCCTAGAAAAACATCCAAGTCTGAAGATTCTATTTATAAAAAATGTTGGGAGAAAAACAAATAATTTAGACCTACTTGTGATATCATGACTCCCTTTGGGTTTCCAGTTGTACCAGATGTGTAAACCAGCATACAAGGTTGATTTATGGCTTGCATCGCTAATCTCTCCTACAGAAAATTGTCTGAAGACGACCTGAGTTGAAATTTTAAAACATATCCCAATTAAACCCAGACTTAACGCCCGTTAAGATAGTCAAGTGTAGGGAACCGGGTTTAAGCTAGGATCAGTTTTTGTAAAAACCAATCTAATCGTAAATTTCATAAGAACTATTATTCTAATACGTAGAAAAACTACAAAGCTATTTGTATAGACAAATTTGGGCACAGTTTTAATTTCTGAATTTAGAAATCCAAGTAATTGAATATGCACACATACGGTAGGCTGAATCATTATCATGATCAGCTATTGGNTTTTTGTTCCCCATAAGTTATATATAGTTGCACGAAGCGCCAAAAAAAACTAGCGTTTTTTCGCTATATTGGGGAAAATAAATTATTTTTAGGTATAAGTATAAAGTAGGGTTTCCAATCGGAATCCCATTGCGCGGAATAGTGCGGAAATGTGCAAAATTGCGCGCAAGTAAAATCCACTTGTTTCGGAAACCCTAGTGTAATTCTTAAAATATATATCCCTGTTTCTAACCTGGAGAACTGAATCAGGTAGTCCTCGACCAATATCTAGTAGTTCCTCCCAGCTTAGTACACCAGGAACAGTTGGCGTTCCTTTAAAAAAATCTTTTTCAGAAGTACAGTAGCACAATGAAGGTAATGGCGACTCCAATTAGTGGGGGCACCATTACAATATTTCATAATGTATAAAAAAATAAATGGCAAAAATGGTTATTGCCATAATTGTTCTTAAAAAAATCGAAATTCTGATACTTCAATTTTCAAACATATTAATAATAGTATGTGGGTGAGGGTGAACTCAAATCAGTTTATAGTTTAGAACGACATAAAGAGAGGAAATTCAAATAAGGGTAGATTTAGGTATCTCGTAGTTGGAATATCTGAAAACAAATTAATAAATGAATGATAGTTAGGGTTAACTGAAATCAATATTAAATAGATTATTTAGTTAAGACACATTAAACAGATTAATATAAGGATGACAGTTAGGGTATACAGTTAGAATCATTAAATTCTGGAATCGGAAGATGACTTTTAGACTCGACAGTTGGGATTTTAAATAGTTCAATGGACATGAGATGCGGCAATTGTGCAGTGTAAACATATACAGACCCATTTCACTTAAGAAAAGATTAAATTAGTTAGAAGTAAAACTATTTGCTTTATAACAACATCAAATATTCTTAATCAATGCTTCAATGTCGGCTTTCTATTCTGCAGTTTTCTGGTTCTCTCTGTACTATTAACAATGATTACTAGATTAAACAATTAAAAACGAAAATGAACGAACAGACAGAGTGCCATAATACACAAAGTATGACAGTTAGGGCAGATTAAAACTAAATTTAGTGGACATAACACTGAACAGCTAATGAAAACCTTGCAATAATGAAATAAGAAGCTATGAAAAAAAACAATATAATGAGAATTGAACAGTTAGGGCACCTTTAACTCTATTGGAAAAAGGTACAGTTAGGGTAACATTCCTTAAAATTTGAACCTGAGTATTGTACAATGCACTGCAGCTCTTTCAGCTGATCTTGGATATTCAAAATCTGAAGAAAAAAAATTATTAAGTTCTCACCAATTTAAATAACAGGGACTGTAAATACTACTTTAAGGTGATTTTTTTAAAGAGGGGCATGCCCGATTTTCGCCGTAAAATTAAAACCTTTATCTGATCCATAATGTGGAAGATATTGTCGTTTTCTAGCTTGAAAGGTTGTGTTAAATCTGATAATTTCCTCCATTGCTTCCAAAGCAAAACCTCACATTTCTCTTTATAAAAATCTATTATCAAAAATAACCAAGTTTTGAAAACATTTACTTCATAAACGGAAATGACTTAAAATAACGTGCCAATTTAGTTTTTTTCGATACAGCCAGAATGTGAAATAGTTTACTAGCTTCTAGCTACCATCCAAATTGACTAAGATATTAAAAATAAACCTACTTCAAACTACTTCCTTGATTAAAATTTATATAATTTAATCCACTTTTTTGATACAGAGAATTTTTTAAATTGGGTATTTGAGAAAGATCGTTGTCAATGTGAGTACTTGTCATGACAGTTTCCAATTTTAAATTTACAAAATAGCTATTTCAATTTTACAAAACAGTTTTTTTTAAATTTACAAAATAGCTATTTCCTAAAATTCCTAGCTGCAACGCACCTCATCCTATCTGATCTGGCCTGGCCTGGCACTATTTTTACCTTGTCCAGCTGTTCCTGATCTTCCAGCACTATAATGTTTGCGCGGGAATGCTGCGCAACATACCTAAAAAACAGCCTTTCAATATTGTTTTAAAAATCCACGAGCCTTGTTTTCTGTAAAACCCGCAGAGCTAAAAGTCATCAATACTTTTAATTTTACTTAAACTCTTCTTTTCATATTAATAAGTACAGTGAATCCATTAAACCGTGTATTAGGAAGACGACATTGAAACAGTTCTATGTCTATTTTATGTTAACATAAAATACACATAGAACATTTGTTATAGAGTAAATAGCTTGAAACCAATTAACCTAGTTAAATGGGTATGTGTAATGTAAATTGTGTGCATGCAGAAAATCTGTATTTAATGTTAATCGGGCTGTCTACAATCATAACTGTAGTCTAACAGTCGTCTTCCTATTTCACAGAATTTTTGGGCCCACTATAGATGTTATATTTTACCTAACAGAGTCCTGGCTGTTGGTTGTGTATATCCCTGTAGCTAACCCACCAGCAACAACACTAGCAATGTTACTGCAACAATAACAACAACAATGTTTAAACATTGAACTTTCTTTAATGCTAGAATTAATAATTTCTAATACTATCAAATTTTGTGATATTAAGTAGTTAATTTATACTTCTTCACAACAATTTCCTTTAATATATATGAAAATTTCAGTTTGATCACGACGACATATGTTCACAGCCATAAATAATTATATTTAATATGTTTCTCTTTTTAATTAAGTGTCTTTGTGATTTAAAGAAAGCTTCCATTTGCAAATGGGCATGTCGGATTCCTAACAGGGCACTTTAATTTTTTATCTGATCAAAAATGTGGAAGATATCGTCATTTTTCTGAAAAGTATTTAATTCTGCCAATATCCTCCCAAGAAATGTAATCCGATTCCGTCGTCTTTGCAATAGGGACAGAGGTCAGGGTTCAAAGGGAATCCTGGGGTTTAGGTATAGATCGAATAGTGACATACGAGATACATAGAATCCCCTCCATTGAAAATGTTCAACTTTCAAATTGGACTTGAAATAATGTCTACAGTAATTATGCTGATGGGTATTGTTATGAACTCCGTTTCTTTAACATTTATGTTTGGTTTGACCTTAAAGGTGCTCGATAAGAATCTGAGATGAGTTTGTTTTTATTACATTATGCAAATCATAACCATTTGCTAACATCAGATGGGACAAATTTGTGTAAATATATTGCCAATACATCTAGATATATTAATTTAACTTAACTTATTTAACCCATTCGACACTCATCAGTGTAATAGTTAACAAATATGTATTTATAAACTGTTTTAGCACTTTGCAGTAAATTGATTTATTATTATTATTTTTTTTGTCTTTTGACAATTGTTTCTAAACCAACACGATTTTTCAAAATGATTTTACCAACCGCTTTTCAAAATCGCTTTGGTTTATATAATTTTGGTCAGAGAAAAAATTGTGCATAATGTTATAATGTTTAAGCAAACTTATTAGCATAAATACTTTAAAAAGGGTAAACATTTCATATTTTTGTGAAAATCTTTTAAAAAAGCTTTGTCGTAGTTTCCTTATATGCCATTCAGGCGCATTGAAGCCGATAATATTTACTGCATGATGCTGCTTCAAACCAAGATTAATAAAGGCCTTGGCCACACTTCTACATCAACCAGATTAAAAATATAATTCAGTTACAATCCGACATTAAAACTAGAAAGTCTCTGCTAAACAAAATTATTGAAAAAAAGGATTGTTCACCAATTACAGATTGATCTTTAAATTTCTAAAGTTAAAGCGCTTGAAATGTTAATCTCTTTAGAAAGACTTAATCCGTAAGTTGAGAGTTCCGACGGATTAAGTTAAATGTTTCATGGGATTTAGCTCAACTAATAGCCGTTTATATCTTAAATTTGATCTTACGGGGGGGG